ATAATAGAGAATGCTTGACATACACAACACAAGGCAATTGCATGCGTAATACTGTTTTGAATGTGAAAAGACGTTTTTTTCTTTCATTGACTATCGTATCGTTTCCTAAATGCAAAACCATTTCCCTTACGTCGAAGTTCCTTTGCATTTGAAATTGTTAGATCCCCTAGCGTTTAAACAATAAGTGCATGTTGCAAAGGAACTTCGACGTAAATTTTGATGGAGTTATCATCGCAAAAACGATTACAGTAAAAACATTTATCCACTTCTTTAAAATGGACAGTTAGGGATTAGATTGACCACATTAACAGTAGGGATTCAAACAATTTTAATTCTACATGAAGGCAACATAAGCTCGTAAGTTTTTAGAAAAATCAGGTCTTTTTCATAAAATAACTTCAAAATGCTGCATGAGTCAAAATGCTGCATGGCAAGTATGACGTGATGAATTTATCAAAAGCTGTCGTTCACCTGAAAAGTGACTCTTCTGGCAACTGGGCCATCTGTATTACACACGCATCTACGCAGAAACATACTTAAAGCTCTAACTTCAAGGTAGCTAAATGGATTTCCTGATGACATTGAAAGAACTTGAAAACATCGTTATTAGAAGACTAAAGAGAGCTGCAAAAAGCCAACAAAGAGAACATATTTTGACTTTATCAAAAATGTTGCTTTGATGGATAGGAGCCTTATTCACTTCACAGTTTTATCATGTTCATAGAGAGATATCGTTACAAGATTTAACATTTTTTGCAGCTATAACATTGACCACAGTGACTCAAACAGCATATACTTAGGTTGCAGTTTTTAATTAGGTGTACAAGATTTCGTATTTTAAATCTTTGATATTAAGCACAGGAAAGCACATAGCGCATGCTTAGGTTGCATTTTTCAAGTAAGTTAAAATCTGACCTGACTGCCCCATTTTAAAGATTGCCTAAAAAAGCAAACCAGCGCACTGAATGATAAGTGGAAATGTGGAATGATTAATTAATCTCCTAGTAGAGAACTAGCATTTCCTTAATAGTTTGCTTTTTAAAAAACTTGTTTCCATTTGAAATATCAATTTAATAATTGGATACATCAAAACCAGTGCATGATGCTGCCAAAGTATAAGACTATCTGGATTAGCCTTCGAAAACTTAAAAAATCCAAAATTGTTTTATGATTTTCGTATTGTCTAAGCATCTGAAAAATTGAAACTACTTTTTGTTTTCTCGGAAGGTTTTTTACCAGGTTTGCTGGTTTTCCTTCCATTTCGTTTCGCAAAAAAATGTGTCCGTGATATGGGCCCGACAAATGATGACAATGATTCAGATGTTTTTGTGTTCAAATTCATTTTTATGGTTGAGAATTTTTGAATTTAAGCATTTCGAATTTAAGAGTTCGTCCTCTGGGTTAGAATCCCAGAACACCATGAATACAATTGGTATAAAATTGCAGAATGAGGTATTGAATTGCAGATTTGTCTGTACAAAATCTCGTCCATCGGGTGACATGTCATTAGCAAACAGTTTTTTGATTTTAGTAATCGTTTGAAGACTAGACAATTTACAGTTTAAGTATAAGTATACAAGAATGGACAAATTATCATCGAAAGTCTTGTAGGACATTCAATTACAAAAATATATGCATTCAATGAAAAAGCTTACACTTAGAAGCCTTTGTTTTTGACTTGCAACTGTTCTCTTCGGATTCACCGAATATAATGTTGCACACCCACTTCAGCAGGTGCGTACGCTAACATCACAGCTAACAATGATAAAATAATCTTTGGTATAAGACGAAAAACGTTGCTAAATTGCATTTAAAAAATTAAACAACTAAATTCAGTAATTCGGTTTCAACAACAATTAAGACAATATTTGGTGCATAGATGACGCACTGAAAAATCAAAAGTTTTCTACAGAAATAAATGATGCTGTAAAATTTATATATGTTTATGTATTGTGAAGTGAGATCATGGTTGCTTTGCATATTCTCATTTTACTTGAAACCATCTTAATTTGTTTCACGTTGATTTGTTATTTTTTGCCATGGTGATGTCATTATTTACAGTGGCAGAACAACTTCAGAAAATGCGACAGCTTATCTATAATGCACGATGAGGACTTAGATGAGCATGCTGCTAACCTATATTGCATGATGAGCATTCATCATCCAATATATATATGAGAAGTATTTTTTAGTACTTGATAATCAATACATACGTTCTTCCCATTATCAACTGCGGGACTAATATTATATTGAAATGCAATTACTGCATGTGTTGCACTGGCGTTTTCTACCTAAGAAAAACGTAATATGTTTATAGGCATTTATGAAAGTTTTCCTTTCTTATTTCAAATAGCAGCATGCAGTGCAATACTATTTGCTTCTACTAATGAATTTATTGAATCGTAAACACTTTCGTTGCTAAGAAACTATTGAAAATTTTGTAGCTTGCTAACATGGGCGTGTAAATGATCAGAATATTTTTGAATATATGTCATCTAAAAGTGCTGGTCGGAATTCTTTATTGCAAAAGCTTTGAACAAAGAACTATAGATGAAAAATTTAGTAATGACATTTTGTTAGTTTTTTTTAGCACAGAATTTTTTTGGACTTACTGTGTAGGAAAACTAGAAATTTCCATGTACACGTCGTTTGATTTTGTATAAAAGAAACGTTGCTTTTATCATTTTTATCGATTGTTAAAAGACAAAAATTTCTTGCTCGTATGCTACAAGTGTTTATTACTTGAACTACAACTGCTTTTGTGCAACTAGCTACAATTGCTTTCAATGACTCCAAACAACATATGAATTCTTCTCATTATACATTGCAGGACTTTTACCTATGGCGAAATTCAATTTCAAACAGAGAACATCGTATGCTGTAACTCTTATTTAGCTTCTTAATTCTGTTTTGAAATATATGTCTTCCTCAAAACATCAATTGGAAGTTTTAAAATGTAAAACTGTTCGACCCAAATTTATAACCTCCGCTGTGTCAAAAATTCTATTCCTCATTACAAGTTGTCTACACAGCAAATTTAGTCACGAAATGTTTCTAAAAACAAATGACCCACCGACTTTGTCATCTGATTTTTACCTTTTTCAGCATTTGCGTTAAATTGCCAAAGTTTTGAAATAATGTCATCAATAAACATAAACGTAAATGTCTTCTGCCATTATTGTTTTAAAATATTCTTTTCATTAGTAGAACCGTGTGTTTTAATATGCGGTTTGCGTGACTCTCGGCAGGTGAAACAAGCCAGTATTTTTCACGTCAACAAAAGTCGCTTAAATCAAAATTACAACGAAAATGTCCAAATTGAGATGATTTAAGAAACGTGTAAATGTGAGTGAATGTTTTAAACACGGGAGTATCGTTAAATGTTTTTAGATGCAGATCACGCAGGTTAGCTAAGTCTAGAGAAGTCAACATCAACACAAACAGTAGCTACTTCTCAGGATTCTATTAACCTAGACGTTCTGCTTATACAAGGTTATAAAACTTGACTTGACTAAAGAGTTTTTATACAATTCAACAAATAGTAATAAACAGATGAAAATGTCAAGAAATTTGTTTAAGTTTTGCACCATCCTAGCTCAACTTCCGTGCAAACAGTTGCTATTGATTAGAGAAAAGATGAATTGGTAATTTTGTTAATACAGTTGTGTTTGACTTTGTATCAGATACCCTGAAGTGGAATAGTTATAAAACGCAGATTTTAAAATAAGGCTGTAGCCTATTTTAAACTCTCTATTATTACACTGGTTGTTTATGTAATGAACGTAAATGTATCCTGTCTATGTATTTCTTAGAAAGAGAATCAAATAATTTCTGAAAAAGCTTAAGAGAAGCTTAGATTCGAAGAAATGGATAAAATGAAGTCTGTTGTTTATTCCCATTGTTTTTTAAAGAACTTATGCAAACTATTATGATAAATGTCAAGAATCAGTAAAAACAGAGCAGCTAAATGACGTACGTTTTTCTAAAATTGTGTATGTCGAATACTTAAGGTCTGCATGTCAAAGCTTGAAAAAAATCTTTCACAAGAATGGCGCAAAATTTTTGTGAAGATACTCATGTAAGTTATATAAGCAAAGACATGGAAATGTCATCAAATAAAGAAAATGTCGTCTTTTTTAATGAGAAACTTGTTTCTTTATGCAGCAGTCCCATATCACAATGACCCGACCAACGTTGAAAATTTGCTCAACTTTTCAATCTTCAGACTATCCCTCTTGCCATCAGCCCCTGTACGGCAAAACCAGCTTTCACTGCATTCCTCGTTTCTGTTTAAATGTTAATGTTTTCAAGAGATGACTTTTTTAGAGATGACTTAATCTTCACCAAAATGAAACCAATGATCATGTGCCATTTGTCTCAGCCATGTAATAAAGTTTTATATTTTCGTTATTTGTTGTATACTCTAACCTAACAAAAGAAAACGTTTTTAACTTAATCTCAGTTGGGTGTTGCAACGTTTTGAATGACAGACTTTTCAAGAAAAATTAAATGTCTCAAATTATATCATTTATAGAATATAGACTTATTAAAAATTTTACTTATAATATTGGCCAAATTTCTTAGTTTCCTACAAATCTAGTGTGTTCTCAGAAATAAATGAAACTTTGTATATGAATCTACGTAATATATATGATGACGTAATGTTTGAGGAATAAAGTAGTTTACGAATGCAAGTTTTTACAAATAGATTAAATGCTGGTCTTAGAATTCTTCTAAACTGACCAGAAAAGTCTGATACAGTGCACGAGCAATTTTGACTCCATGAGAGCAGAAATTTAAAATAATTTATAATTTTTTCCTTAAATCACAAGTGCCTGCATTTAGACGCCCCAGCAGGACGTTTGAAATTAAACACTTAATGTACAAAACGGCAATGGAAATGGCATAAGAATACGATGCAGACACTGATGCTGAAAATTGTATACTTTTAAAAAGCTTGAAAAAGTTTTCGTTTATGCTAAATGTTTAAATTAAAAGCAACTACTGGACTCTTTAGTCACCGCGAGGAATAGCTTTTACCTGTGTCACCTGTCTTACAGTTTTTCCTGCCAATCAGGACTTGGGAAGTAGATACAATTAAGTTTCCATCAACGCACAAAAAGCCCAAGTTAGCAGGCAACACTTCATTCGAGCATCCGTAGGAACGAAAAACAGACAAAGGTAATGAAATTATTTTTATGACGTATTTATAAAAACGTTTATCCCTTTATGACAGCTAAAGCTATACTGCATGTACTTTTTCTACACTTATCAAGCTACGTTTAAATTTTTATGTAACTAATTTTATCGCTACTACGTACAAGATTTATACTCTGCATAAGTTGAGGAAGTGTTTTATGGTAGAAGTAGCTAGAAAAGCCATGTCTATAGCATTTCAGAGAGCTCTAGTGAAGCTTTTCTTGTATCGTATTTTTTTGTCTTCTCAATCAAGAATTCCCTCCTGAAAAAAATTCTCGAAAATTAAACATTTCACTTTATTTTCTGACTTGTTGTCTAAAACCATTCGTCGTTAAAAACATTTTCACTTGTAATAATTAAAGTACAATTTGGGTAAAAATGAAAGAGAACGCATTGGTTTAGTAAGCTCAGCTCTTCCTGAGGTACAGGACTACAAAATTATCACAAACAAAGTTTGCGTTACGAGTTCTTCTCAGTTCCACAATATAAAACCAACCATTTGTTTTTCACTTTTTCAAATGATTATTTCAAAATAGTTTCTTGTCTATTTTATATTACGCATGTTACAATCCTTTATGTCTTATTGCTTAGCGACGAAGTATTGACAACTGCTGTGATACTAATTACGCTCAATTCCAGTGGCGTGCGGTCATGCAAGCGTAGGCAAGCGCCGCTTGCCTAAGCATTTTACCGAACAAAAATTTTTTGGATCAATCTCTGAGCAAAATCAGTTTAAATTTTTCTGTTCTAAACAATGTCAATGTAATCTTTTGTCTAAATTGTCTTTACAGTTGAAATGCTTGCAGGGGCGGATCTAGGATTTTTCAAACATCAGTCATAAAACATCGGAGGCGCTCCGCACCTGAGGGGGTCTGAGGCTATCTCTCCTGAGAAATTTTGAATTTCAGAGCCTTAAAAATGCCATTTTCAGCGTTTCAGAGCATTACAAAATGTATTTTGTGGGCATCGTTTTTGCATAAATACAACACATTTTGGTTACGTTTTTTTCAAAAAAAAAATGAAGTGAACAATACTTGAATGTTTTGCCAAACATTTAGGCTCATTATTATGCCAAATATATGACTCATTAGCATGTCTAGGAACGTAAAATTTATTTTACAATAATGCTATATTCAAAAACAGATATAGCCTTTAAAAATTTCTACCAAGTTGTCAGGCATAGACCCCCCTAGAGACCTCATTCAAACCTCTATGTAATGAGTTAAGTTAGAAATTTGGTACTACAAGTGACAGTTCATAGATATAGAAAAGCTCAGACTTCAAACCATGCAAGTTTATTGTAACCCTTTACCCATCTCCACATCAGTATTAGCAAATTCACCTTTGTGGAAAACTCAAAATTTTTTCTGCCAAAGCTTAAGCATAAATTATCAGAGTGAAAATTTGCAGATAAGGACAGCTGAATGCCATAAATGTTTATTAGGCATTTCACTTGACTATTATCTTCTTCAAGGTGTGCTATATAGCAATCACTAGTAGCATTGTATTATCAATTACAAACAGAATGTAACCAACATGTCTTTAATTATATAATTACATGAATGTTAAAATTGGTTCATGTGTCATGCTTACTGGTTATGATAAATATCATTTCATATGATCAAAGCTCGTTTAAATGTAAATCTGAAATAATTTAGTTTAGAAATTATAATGATCATCAGAAAAATTACCTAGTGATCATGAAAAATACTTTGCTGTTTTGCCAAATTTCAAGGTTTATCTGCATACATAGGAAGACATTTTTACTTTATAGAAAATGCTTTTCATACATCAATGGCCCTTTGGAATTTATGGCAAACAATCTGGTATGAGCCGTAGATTAACACAACTTTACATCTCTACATGAGGTGTTCAGTTAGAAAAGGGGACAATATGTGACATGGGACAACATTTCATGTATCTGAAATACTAAGGTTTAATACCAAAGGTTGAAATTTGGTATTAAACCTATTTGGTCAACCTTGTTTGATAAACAAGGTTGACCAAATTTCAAGTACATTATCCGCTGTGTAATAACTGCATTACACAGCGGATAATGTACTCGAAATTTGAATAGTTTTACGTAATTATAAAGTTAAGTGCGTAAGTTTAAGTAGCGCGTTTGAGTAAGTGTAGGATTGGCTATTTCCTCTATTGCTAATACATGAATCTAGATGAGTAATGTACGCACGTTATGTACGTCACTACAATATATCATGTAACTGATGTAAGGTATAAATAAGATTGATGTTCCTATAAAATATATAGCATAGGAATTTTCATCCTTTTATGTTCTACTTCTACAATTCGGTATTTTCACGACACCTGTACAACATGACTGAATGCATTGTGGAATCACTGTTATCCCGCTCATTTGGATTGAGACCTTTTTCCGAGAAACGAGAGATCGTCGAAGGTGGCCGTCCCACTCCTGAGTTGCAAGGACTACATACAACATCCGAGCGAAGTGGTAAAGTCTTTATTCGAAGTTTTCAGACGTCAAATTACGACAAGTACAAATGGCTGGCTGGCTCCTCAAAATTGAATAAGTTATCTTGCTGGCCGTGTCTTTTGTTCAACTCAACAGACAAGACAGTCTGGTGCAAGAAGGGATACGATGATTTGGCCAACCTGTGTAATGCCGTCAACAGACACGAGAAAACGAAGACACACTTGTCCAGTTGCCTAATGAATGCCAGTTTTGGGCGTACACGCATCGACATGCAGCTAGACGAACAGGCCCGTCAACACATCTCAGCTCACAACTTGATGGTGCACAAGAATAGAGAAGTACTTCGCCGTTTCATTGATGTTGTTTGCTTTCTTGGCAAACAGGAACTTTCTTTCAGAGGTCGGGTGGAGCTGGAGGAGTCTGCCAACAGGGGCAATTACGTCGAATTGATAAAACTGCTAAGTGCATATGACCCCACGCTTGACAGCATCTTCATACAGCAACCGTGTTTTCTGGACTTTCTAATCGTATCCAGAACGATTTGATTGTTGCTGTCAAGGACGTTATGTTGAAAGCAATAAAAGATGAAATGATGAGGAGCCCATTTGTCGCTATTTCCCTGGATGAAACCTCCGACGTTAAGACCTTATCGCAGCTAACAACTATAGTTCGCTATGTCAACCCAGATGGTAAAGCTGTGGAGCGCTTTCTTGGATTTACCGATGTAAGTGAGGATAGAACTGCGGCTAGACTGAAACAAGAAGTCGGTAAAACCCTGAACGAGTACGGATGCGGCGAAAAACTGATTGCCCAAACGTATGACGGTGTGAGTGTTCGTTCGGTGCGAAGTTTTCGAATACATCATCGAAAATGATGACGAGTTTGACGGTACGACGTTAAACGAAGCGATGGGCTACCGACAAGTTCTTGCAGATTTCCAGTTTGTGTTCTGCCTTAAAATATTTTCAGAAATATTTGGTCTTACGGATGTTTTGTATAATATCATTCAGAGTAAGCAGTTCGATATTGTCTTCTGTGTCACGAAAGTTCGCGAGACGAAAGATAAGATTCAAGAACAACGAACAAAATTCGTAGATTATTGGAATTTTACGTCAAGTGTCGTCAAAGTAGCACTGAAACGCGGGCAAAGTGAAGAGGATGTAAAGGCGTCCTTCCGTCAAATGTTTTTCTGTGTAGTCGATACCATTGTCGTGCAGATTGACTCTAGATTCGAAAGTCTTAACAGCAGAGCATTCGTTTCTTTGTTGGATCATTCAAAGCACGAATTGTACAGCCGGAATTTTCCCGAACGAGAGCTGCAATCGTTGCAAGATTCATATGGAACATTCTTTAATCTTCAAGCACTAAAAAGTGAACTAATCGTTGTATACGCATCTGCCGAGCTCAAATCGAAACCTGTTTTTTGATATGATATCAAAAAATAATCGAACTTGACTTGAAAGCCTATTTTCCAGAGGTGTACCGATTGTGTCAGCTCATTCTTACTATGCCAAGTACGTCCTCCTCTGCAGAAAGATCATTTTCGGCTCTCAAGCGTATCAAAACGTATCTTCGCAGTACACAAGGGCAAGAGCGACTTTCTGCATTGGCTACAATTTCAATCGAGAAGGAGATGTTGGTAAGTTTGCAGGGGAAGCCACGATTCTATGAGGACGTTATAAAGGAGTTTTGCACAAAGGAAAGACGGATGGAATTTACATTTAAGTAAATCTGTTGTAGGATTTTGGACTATTTCGTTCTGTTACTTCTTCACTACAATAGAAATGCACGCGTAGCCATTTACTTAAAACGACTTTATATCACAATACCACATGTAATACTTTTGAACCGTAATTGTGATATATACTCTATAAAAGTTTTTGAATTTTTTAGATTTTTTCAATACTGTTTCAGTCATGACAGATACATTTTTTCGACAAAGTACTCTCAGAAATCGCGGGAAATGCGCTCCAGTAGCCTTCAAAATCCAAAAATTTTCTGGGGGAGCATGCCCCCAGAACCCCTGGGGGAGCATGCCGCGGCATGCCACGAACCTCACCCCCAGCGCTTGCCTATTAAATTCGGTCACCGCACGCCACTGCTCAATTCGTGCCATCGACACTTTTATTTTGAATTTACTTTTTTCTTTCCTCGGCAATGCAATGTGAAAATTCACATGTAAACTGCCAATGTTGCTGACAGTGATTGTTAGTATTAAATTGAAGGAAAATTAATGAATCAATAGTTTATTTTTTCAAGTAGTTAGAGCAACATATAATATAAATTGTGCCAAAGTTATTGCAAGATACAGCGTGTCAAAGAAATAGTCCTAGGCTCCTAGCCGAGCATTTTGTATTGTTGAAACCATGTTGGTGCCTGTTTTCTCGAAAGATCGTTTTAATAAAGGAGAAAATTCTAATAAGCAGGCGAGCAATGGTGGAAAAAAACATAATAAAACGTGTGGGTTTTCCCATTAACTTTTTCAGCTGCAACGCTGGCAAACACGGCGCAAGAAATTACAATTCTGTTCAGTATTAATACTTTCGTAAACTTCATTAGTGGAAAATACTAAACGTCATCTAAAATAAATTTTTCTTTTTCTTAAAAGTCATATACAATACACGTTGATGATATGAGAACTTAATTGCTATAAAAGAAATGACCTTTTCCTTTCATTTATATTGGATAACAATTTGGATAACCAATAAGGATAACACTTATTGCAATTTTCCTATACAAGATTTACATGCATGCAGGCAGAAGGAAATCATCTTATATGTCATTAAATTAATGCTCATGCAAAAGTTATTAGTTTTCATTTATATAATTTCCAAAACATTTATTATTTATAACCCTATTAATAAGTATTTTAATAATATATATATAAGTATTTTAATAGTATGTATATATATATAATCTTCAATGATTGATAAACATTCATTTTTCTGTCAAGACGTGAAAGTGCAAAACTGTAACAAATCATTGCATGAATCATTTATATCAACAATATTAAACTTAAATTTTAAGTTAGTTCATGCTTTGTAAGACTTATTTAAAAAACTTTCATAATAATAGCTACAGCTATGCCAAGCTTTTTACATAGTTTCCAAGTTTTTTTAATTTGTTATAGCGTTTTATCATAGTAATGATCGGATGAGTAAGTCAACTTTGTCATTGCTCCGTCTTTTGCTACGCTTTAGTAACAATATGTTGTGAATGTAAAATTGTTGTGAATTACTTAAGAGTTCTTCAATCGCAAATATGTCACAAAATACTTCAGCTGTTTTAAAAAAAGTAAGACCAGATGATAGATTAAAACTTTCACATTTAACCAGTGCTAATTTCATTGCTTGAGAGTTTTGTAAGCGAACACGAGGATGATTTGTGCGATCAGGTTTTGTATTATGTCAAATGTTAACAACCAAGATAATTTATTATTTCACTTATACTGAAGACGGCACCATGAGATGTCGAAACTTGTCTATTTCAAAAAAACTCGTCGTATATATTAAATGCGCATTAGCAATAGTGCTTCTACGAAATTATGGAAACATTATTTACGACATAGCACAAAAATACGAAGGAAAGGTCTCCTTATCAGAAATGCGGAAGTTTGAAAAGCTTCAAACCAAACAAAGGAAAGCAGAACTAGATGCTAAGTTTCTTAAAGATTGTCTTTCACTCGGCGTCTATCCAAAGTTTCTCTGCTTTTCACTACCAAATGTCAACAACGAAGATAATTTCTTATTTCACTTATACTGAAGATGGCATAATGAGATGTCGAAACATATCCATTTTAAAAAACTAGTCGTACATATTAAATGCGCATTAGCAATAGTGCTTCTACGAAATTATGGAAACATTATTTACGACATAGCACAAAAATACGAAGGATGAGTAAGTCAACTTTGTCATTGCCCCGACTTTTGCTACGCTTTAGTGACAATATGTTTAAAATTTCTCTAAGTCCAAAGAAAAATTCGAAGAAAAATTTTCAAAATATTTTAGTTTTTATTAAAAGAAGTAAGACCAGATGATAGATTAGAACTTTCACATTTAACTGGTGCTAATTTCATTACTTGGGAGTTTTGTAAGCGAACACGAGGATGATTTGTGCGATCGGGTTTTGTATTATGTCAAATGTTAACAACCAAGATAATTTATTATTCACTTATACTGAAGATGGCTTCATGAGATGTCGAAACATGTCTATTTTAAAAAAACTCGTCGTATATATTAAATGCGTATTAGCAATAGTGCTTTTACGAAAATATATAAACAATAAGGATAACACTTTTTAAGATTGTTAAGACTTACCATACATTGCTAATAAATATTTTCAACTATTTACAGACACGGAAACAGCTATAAAGCATAGTCATTTAAGCGATACATGGAAGACATTAATGTGCGCGGACTTGGTCTTGTCCACAATATGGCCAATCTCAAAAAAGAAGCTTATCTTGCCAAATTTAAGACCGAATTCAATAACTGGGTTTTACCTGAAATAAAGCAAATGAATGATTTGTTAGACGAGCAATCGTCAAAGATGAAAGAATTTCTTACAGCAATCAATCAACACGTGGGCATACTTACTACAGAAGTGAGCATCTTGAGAAACGAGAATGTCGAACTGAGGGCAAGCATTGACCACTTGAGGGAAACCAATAACGGATTTACAGAGCAGTTAGCAAATATGCAAAGGCAAATTGACGAATTGACGCGGAACAATTCAACTTGATTCAATAACATTTTGGGCTTTAATATTCGAGCAATATATTCACACTTTTTAAAGCAGCTTGGCAAACACTAAACCTATGTTACTTAACGTCTAAAAAGCACTTGATATCCGTCAATTACCATGTAATAATTTCACAAAAATGGCTAGTTACGCCGTAATTGTAATTTTACTTGTAGATATAAACATTGCTTAATTTAATAACTTCATTTACCCTTGTAATAATTTGTATAAAAATAAATTAAGGAATAGCTATACACAGTAGGTCTCGTGTTCTTTATTGAGTTCTATAAAAAACTATTCATGGTGCAACTTTATTAACTATTTAAAGTAGGTTAAAACTTAAAACTACAAAACAATTACTTTTAAAGCTATAAAATCACCCGTTACACTGGTTACAACGCCGTTGCTTTTTAAATGGCTATAAAATCACCCGTTACACTGGTTACAACGCCTTTATTTCCATTCTCTCAGAAAATTGCTTAACAAAATGTAAATAAAATTGATAGGTGTACGAAGAATTTCGATTCATGTAATATAAGATTGTGAAATATGATTTTCCTGTAATTATTTTCTCAAACTACATGCAAGCAAATTTGGTGCAAGTTTCAAACATGCTGTTAAAAATTGTTAAAAACTAATAACGATACCTTATTTATTTTGAAAACGTCAGTTAAAATAGAGTGAGTTTTGTGGTATTTTGAAGCACAAACAATAAAGAAAGCGTATTTACATTTACGACTTACAGATTTATTTTTATCAAAAATGTATTTCAATTGAATAAAGTAACATAAAAATATTTCATTTTTGATTTATTGCACAATAAATTAATAACTAAAGAGCTCAGGCCTTAGCGTAGAAGCCATACAGGGCCAGATTAAGAGCTGGGCCTCGAGCCACCCACTAAAAGCAGTAAAAAGGGGCCACCCACCAGTAAAATTGCGTAATGAATCAGAGCAGACGCACTCATTGTCTGAAAGGAATTGGAAGTGAAATTAGACACATTTTAATTCACGGTAATGCCAGCCTTGAACTTTTCAGAAAATCAAGCTAGTTTCTGGACTTATCTTAAGAATTAGCTTAGAAATGTCCGTTGACTTAACAAAGAAAAGCGTTGATAATGTAAATTTTAAAAAGATTACTAAAAAATCGAGAGCAACAAGAGCTGCTCCGATCTATTGTCGACTAACAATCCATATCAAACAAATATTTGATGTCCAAACTGTTGAAAACTTTGGCGTTGTCACTAAAACCTAGTCAACTCTTGATTTAGTATTGATAAGTCTAACTTATGATACAAGCTACGAAAACGAAGCTCATGCTAACAATAATACCAGCTCTAAACAACAGGGCCGGATTAACATTTTGCGGGGCCCATGGCATAATATCAGTGCGGGGCCCTTGCCCCAACCCCTGTGTTTACCAAAATGCAATAAAAAACTGTTTTTTTAACTCAAACAATAAAACCTCGTATTTTTGCCTATTTAAACCCTTACGTTGAATATAATTCCAATTTACAATCACGTACGTATACCAAACATTACATACCAATATTAAACAGACTAATATAATAAACACGATAAAAAAAGACGTAAAAGGTTTTACTGTGCAGAAGTGTTAAGCCTTATAAACGTTATGCTTACGGGATTTCATAAGAGCAAAATCATTAATCAGGGATGACATATCAATACTACGCAGAACATCATTTTCAATACTCAGAAGAGCAAGGCTATTTAGTCGTTCCTGTGTCATGGTTGAACGAAGATGATCCTTTATTAGCTTTAATTTCGAGAACGACCGTTCACCAGAACAATTTGATATCATCATACTGAGGTAAATGCGAAACACAATAACAGCGTTTGGAAATACAGTTTCCAGGTTATTTCCCACAAGAAACCTATATATACGCAATTCTAGGGAGTCTACGTTCACTTTGATGTCGTCATCATCATCGGATGTTACATCGATGTCATGGTCTTCACTAGGCTGAGCAGAAGATCCAATTCGAGCTGAAGAATAATGAGGTGCAGCTGCATGACTCGCATCTAATGCTCTTTTCACGAATTCTGTGTTGAGAAAGCTAGAAAACTGGAGCAATTCATCACCCAAATTGACTTCGAGGTCAGTGGAAAATGCTTTTTGCAATCTTTGTGCGTTTTCCAACACGTCTTCAGCTGGCAGATCTGTAAGCTTTCGCAGAAAGCCAAACTTTTCAGCAATGTTGATGTAAGCACTCAGTCGTTTTCGCAACTCAGCATCCAGACTATCGATTATTACAAGGAAAGTACCTGTGCGAAACTTGTCGGCTGGAATCTGCAACAAATCAGGTGCTGATCCTGGCTCGTCGTTACAACGATTGCGTTTACGCACGCGCTTGATCTCTTCTTTATATTGATCACATTCACTGAGCTCCTTTCCTTTGGCTTCAAATTCTTCAAATCTGGTTCGCAGCGAAAGGACAAACTCAATCAGCGATTCATATAATGCAACAGCAGAGTTGAGATCTTGATCAGCTAATTGCAGGATCTGACTTGTTCTCTGAAATCGTTGCAAGATTTGATGCCATAATGCTGCCAGAATTCCAATTTCAAGCTGGGCCATATCAGACGCAAGACTATTGGCTTCATTTTGGCTTCAGGCTTCTCATCTTGATCATCATGGATCTCGTTAAAGCAGCATTAATTTCGTATCCTATTACTAGAGCTTTGTAGCATCTGCACGTGCTGACCATCGAGTATCAGACATACGTTTAACCGTTGGAAGTCTCTTGCTTGAAAGTTGGTCGGTTAAAACTTTCCAACGATGCGTTGAAGCAGCAAAGAAAGAGTAAATCGTTGGAGGAAGTTGAAGAATCTTGATGCTTCTTGACAACAACTGGCAGATGATTGTCCAACAAGATTAAGGGAATGTGCAAACGGTCATGTACTGTGCTAGGCTACAATGTTGCTGAATAATGGCCTGCATACCATTATATTTCCCACTCATATTGCTTGCATTGTCATATGACTGGCCGCGGCAATCCGAAATATTTATATTATTGGTTTTCAAATAATCTAGTAGCCTTTCAGCTAGCAATTTTCCGCTATGTCCAAGTATGTTAAGGAAAGATACAAATCGTTCGACAGGACCAGAGGGTAAAACGTATCGAAGAATGCATGTCAGTTGATCAACGTGGGAAATATCTGGGGTAGAGTCTACACAGACGGAGAAATACTTTGCAGCTTTAACTCTGTAAAAATCTGCTCGCGAACTCGAGTTGCCATCAGTTGGATGAATTCCTCGCAAATGGTCTTTGAGAGATAGGATGTGTGACCCTTCCCTTATTTGCATTACGGTTGATGTGTTGCGCTAGAAATGGATCGAACATCGATATAAGTTCTAATGTTCCCAGGTAGTTACCGTTTTTTGGCGATCCAACGATCTCATCAGTGCCGCGAAATGGTAAACTTCGCTCGGAAAGGTAACGGATGGTTTCTGTTACCCGCTCAAGTACTGCCCGCCAATAGTTACGCTCATCACTGGCCTGTGTGACCAGTTCTGAATCAATACGGTAGCCAGCATCGCTACGTTGGAGTAGCTGAAAAACAGCATTACGGTGCGCTGAACTTTTCTCATGTCGTGGAATTGATTGGGATGCGCGTTTCCAGTCATTATAACCTTGTTTTCCAAAAACGATGCTGTCAGTCATGAGTTTACACGCAAAACAGAACACGACATGTTTGGATGGTGAATAGCAGAGCCAGTTTCGAGGATGTTGCTGTTTTGTAAGCTCATGTGTGTACGTGAACAAAGTTTTTTGGTTTTTATAAGGTTTGTATCATATTACTTTTATATAAACGTTGTGTTATTTATTATTTCACTTATACTGAAGATGAGATGTCGAAACATGTCTATCATAATAAATTAAAAAATGAAGTTGATAACGATCAGGCGTCAGCATATAAGGAACCTATCTCTTAGTACCAATGATAGATTAAAGAAGAACAAGTTGGACGGCAACAAAACAAGGTTAGATAATTTCCTTTTATCATAATAATGATCGGATGAGTAAGTCAACTTTGTCATTGCCCGGTCTTTTGCTACGCTTTAGTGACAATATGTTGTGAATGTAAAATTGTTGTGAATTTTTTAAGAGTTCTTCAATCCCAAATATGTCGGAAAATACTTTAGCTGTTTTAAAAAAAGTAAGACCAGATGACCAGATGATTGCTTGAGAGTTTGTAAGCGAACGCGAGGACAATTTGTGCGATCGGGTTTTGTATTATGTCAAATGTTAACAACCAACATAATTTATTATTTCACTTATACTGAAGATGGCATCATGAGATGTCGAAACATGTCTATTTTAAAAAAACTCGTGGTATATATTAAATGCGTATTAGCAATAGTGCTCCTACGAAATTATATAAACAATAAGGATAACACTTTTTAAGATTGTTAAGACTTATCATAAATTGTTAATAAATATTTTCAACTATTTACAGACACGGAAACAGCTATAAAGTTTAGTCATTCAATCGATACATGGAAAACATTAAAACGCAAGTACATGGTCTTGTCGACAATGTGGGCAATCTCAGGAAAGAAGTTTCAAATGTCAAATTTCAAACCGAATTGAATAACTTGGTTTTACCTGAAATACCGAAAATGAATGGATTGTTAGACGAGCAATCGTCAAAGATTGCAGAATTGCTTAAAGAAATCGTTCAAGGAGAGAACAATTTGAGAACCGAAAATAACCATCTCAGTGCAAGAATTGACGATTTGACTGCAAGCAATGACCATTTAAGGGGAGAGAATAACGAATTTAGGCAAAAGTTAGCAGGTATGCAAAGGCAAATTAACGAATTGAGGGCAGACAATGACCAACTCAGGGCAAGAATTCACCAAGTGATTGCAAGCAATGACCAATTGAAGGCAGACAATGACAAACTCAGGGCGAGAAAATAACGCATTTAAATAAATGTTTGCAGATATGCAAAGGCAATTAACGAAATGAGCCAGAACAATTCAACTTGATTCAATAATATTTTGGGCTTTCATGCTCGAACAATATATTCACACTTTTTAAAGCAGATTTTAGACACCAAACGTATGTTAGTTAACGTTTGAAAAGCACTTGATATCAGTCTATAGCATCATTTACGATGTAATGTTTTTTAAAATATGGTTAGTTACGCTGGTAGTTGTAATTTTACTTGTAGATATAAACATTGCTTAATTTAATAACTTCATTTACACTTGTAATAATTTGTATACAAATAAATTAAGGAATAGCTAGACACAGTAGGTCATGTGTTCTTTATCGAGCTCTATAAAGAATTATTCATGGTGCAACTTTATTAACTATTTAAAGTAGGTTAAAACTTAAAACTACAAAACAAGTTACTCAGTTGCTTTTTAAATGGCTGTAAAATCCCCCGTTACACTGGTTACAATGCCGTGATTTCCATTCTCTCAGAAAATCGCTTAACAAAATGTAAATAAAATTGATAGGTGTACGAACAATTTCGATTTGTTTAATATAGGATTATGAAATATGCTTTTCCTGTCATTATTTTCTCAATTTACATGCAAGCAAATTAGGTGCAAGTTTCAAACATGCTGTTAAAAATTATTAAGAACTAATAACGATACCTTAACTATTTTTGAAAACGTCAGTTAAAATAGAATGAGTTTTGTTTTATTTTAAAGCACAAACAATAAAAAAGCGTATTTACATTTACCACTTACAGATTTATTTTTATCGAAAATGCATTTTAATTGAATAAAGTAACATAAAAATATTTCATTTTTGATTTATTGCACAATAAATTATTAAATAAAGAGCTCAGGCCTTAGCGTAAAAGCCATACAGGGCCGGATTAAGAGCTGTGCCCCGAGCCGGATTAAGGGTTGGGCTCCGGGCCACCTACCAAAGCAGTAAAAAGGGGGCACCCACCAGTAAAATTGCGTAACGAATCAGAGCAGACGCATTCATTGTCTGAAAGGAATTGGAAGTGAAAGTAGACACATTTTAATTCACGGTAATGCCAGCCTTGAACTTTTCAGAAAATCAAGCCAGCTTCTTGACTTATCTTAAGAATTAACTAAGAAAAGATTTGATGGTGTAAATTTTAAAAAGATTACTACAAAATTTAGAGCAACAACAGCTGCTCCGACCTATTGTGGACTAACAATCCATAGCAAACAAATAGTTGATGTTTGTTAGATTTTAATCTTTATTCTTGGATTAGTATTGATTTTACAATAATCTTTTTCTACTAAGGACCTGTTAATATGAGACGGCCAGCCCGCTTAAGCCGGACTAGATAGCTTTGCCGATATCTTGCCTCATATATTATTTTACAATGTTTTTGAAATTGCTTTCCTATGAAGAGCGGGTCAGCCGACTCAGCCCGGCTTGGCGAGATTGCTGAATGGAAGCGATATTTCGCCATATGAATGCGAATACAAAATGGCCAGGCAAACTAGTTACAGCGTTAACCTGGTTAAACTGGTTACAATGCCGTGATTTCCATTCTCTCAGAAAATCGCTTAATGAAATGTAAATTGGCTTTGCGGGCTGGCCCGTCTCATATGAATAGGCCCTAAGAACAACAAAAATATATATACACACCAGATGTATCTAAAATTGTTCGATTTTCACGTGTCCACTGATCTATATCTGATGAACTAAATTAACATTAACTTTAACAATTGAAATACTTTATGTTATATTGTATCATGTTAACAATGTTCAAACTGTTGAAAACTTTGGCGTTGTCACTAAAACTTAGTCAACTCTTGATTTAGTTTTGATAAGTGTAACTTATGATACAAGCGACGAAAACGGAGCTAATGCTAACAATAATACTAGCTCTAAACAACGAACAGTTCTAGGGACTATGGCCATGTGACCACCAGGCTCTTAAAGGTGTGGAAAATTTATCCATATCGTTTCTTTTACTTTTACTATTACTTTTGGAATTTGGAAAGTTTACTGTCAGTTGTTGATAAATCTGTCACTCTCCTTGATTAATGCATGTTAGCCTACCAGGTTATTTCAGCACGTTTTAACATTTTCGGTCACATATCAGAGATGTCCCCAGAAGAATTCAAAGGAATCACGCTGAAAACTCGTACTTGCCTATTGTGAATCCGTGATGATTTTGATAACTTCCTTGAAGGCGAGTTATGTCAGTATGTTGCATATGCCAAGTTCTTCGAACATGACAAACCAGACGACATTGGTTGCAAGTTCTTCTTGCTCAGATTTATCCCGTCCAAATGCTAGCAGACTACTTTTTCCAACGTCGAGATTGCCTTGAAAATTTATCTTGTAGTGATGGTCACTGGGCACGTCAATAGTTCAATACCAGGCCAATTTAGCGATCATGACCATAGAATCTGACGTCATTTGTGATTTGGATCTATCTGTTATCATTAAGGAGTTTGCAGTACAAAAATCAAAAAAGGTTAATGTGTAATGTTTGCACACTGTCAGAAGATGAACTTTAGAGATGATGGCGATAAAGATGATTGTATTGTATTGTTATAAAAAGGCCCAAATATTTTTGCCCTTCTTTTTTGTACACGTGGGCTGATTTCAGACCCAAAGA